ACAGAAAGGTTTCTCTTACATATATACATATGTCGATGTCGAGACAAACACATACGCTGAACAACATGGTATAGACTCATGCAAACATAGGCGGAAGTTCAGGCATCTGGTACAGCAGCGATTGACTTGTCTGTATGAAATCAGGTCGCAGCCCAACCAGGGCTTCTTCATGCATCCGGCTACCCTGGATGGCTGCGACCTCAGCACAACCGCCAAGAGTGCAAGTGGGCAGTTTCTGAGTACGTGAGCAACTTCTGATGAAGGTACAATCCATGTGCTTGGAGCCACTATGGTTGGCTGGGATGCCCCTCTGAAGATCTTCTCCGGCATGGGTCGAGTGCAGGCTGTGATGGTATCGGGCTTGTTGAGACAAAATGCACGCAGAAGCTGACGAGTGTCGGAGCTCCAGGCGCACGTGCACCGGAACTTTTCGAGAGATGAGTGCCGAAGCTGCGTTGATTTCTGAACGTCAGCACGGGGGTGGGGAAGGATTTGTCGAAACTACTGGAGAAAACACTGCTGTCCTCAGGCAATACTTCGTGCATTTGGATTTGAAGACGTTTTCCGAGCAGGAACAGGTGCATCCAGCCCTGCTTCATGTGCCTAAGACGGTGGCAGATGCACTTGTGACCTCTTGCGGCGTAGCCTTGACCTTCTGAGAATTTTGGTGCTGCTGCCGAAATCGGCAGGCCTGCTGAGTCTGTTCATCTCCGCAGGTCTTTGACTCCACCGTCGCCACAAGCGACGGCGAAGTGCTCTTCAAGGGCACCGACGTAGCCTTCCGCAAGGCTCCTCTTTGCAGGAAGCCCCATAGACCCACACACCTACAGCGTCCAGGTCACACCAGAACAGATCAAGAAAGCCATGGAGAGCCAGATGGCGGAGGATGATCAGAAGATCTACGAGGCTTCCGGCTGCCATCACGAGGATTTCTGGAGAGACTCCCTGTAACTCACTCTCCTTTCCTGCTTTAGGTGCAGTGGTCGGAGTTGAAGCCGTCGAAGTCGCAAGAGGAGGACTCTAGACTCTAGCGCTGGCTAGACTCGGTGCCCTATACCCTAAGCACCGAACCCTTAAGAATACCCTGCAACAGTTTTCAGTTTGGAACCCTGACGCTTGAGCCACAGATCCTGCACCCTATACCCATTGGAGGAGGAGGAGAGTGAGGGTCGATGCTTGGTCCTGGCAGCAGAGGACTCCAAGGACGGCGAGTCTGTTCCTGAAACGTACAGATGTTCTCGCTACGCATTTGCATGCGTATATTTGTGGCCCATGCGGGTGTGTATGCATGCATGCATGGACGGATGGAAGGCTGAAGAATGGAAGGATGTATGTATGTATGCATGTCAGTTGATAGACAAAGAAGTCTTCACAGATACAACTGTGCGCTTAGTCCTCTTCAGCCGCAATAGCAGTTTCCATAGTGGCAGTGCTGCTTGTTTAAGGTGTAAATAATGTCGTGTTTACTTTCACCCATTATCCAAGCATTCCTGCTTTTAGATGTTTACTTCAACACGCTAGGTTTCTGTGCTCAGACGTTGCCAGTCTGCACGTGACAAAACATGTATGTATGTATGTATGCATGTATGTATGTATGTATGTATGTATGTATGTCCGTATTTGTGTATGTATGTATGTATGTATGTATGCATGTATGTATTTATGTATGTATGTATGCATCTAGCCACGCATGACATTTGTCTGTCTGCGCCTATGCTTGAAAGCTTGCATACAAAGGTAGGTAGATAGGCAGATCGGTCGAAAGACAACTTGAGTTAGATAGCCAGATAGCGAGACAGTCAGATAGCTAGCTAGCTTTTGGATAGACAGACAGACAGATGGCTTAGCTAGGTAGACAGATGGACAGAGCATGTATTGTCATATGCATGCCTAGTCCACGTACATGCACATGTATCTGCGAAAACTTGCACTTATGGTTGTTCTCACATACTTGTCTCTATCTTCCCCAAACATATCTCACATGCAACATCAAGGCAAAGAGGGAGTTCAACCCTCAACCCTGAACCCTAAGCCCTAAATCCTGGCCGCCTCTGGCCCCACACCGTCCGATGCGAGGAGGGTGAAGTCCTCGCGCAGCTACCAGGGGCGGAGCTTTCCGGAATCTCTGACGAGGCTTTGGAGGCACTCGAAGAAGGTGGGAGTTGATTATGCCTGAAAGGGATACCGCATGTAGACTTCGACCTCTGAATGGTCCTGAGAAGCGCCAGGTGGTCTGTCTGGCCTGACGAGAATCATCAGTGCCATCGGCCTCTCAAGCGAAGACGCTGCGAGCGGCTTGGATCATGCTCTCCGCCTCATGAAGGTGCACTGCTTTGTGCTGATAAGAGTGTGCAGATTTCCGAAGCCCTAAACCCTAAATCCTAAACCCTAAATCCAAAATCCTAAACCCTAAACCCTAAATCCAAAACCCTAAATCCAAAACCCTAAATCCTAAACCCTAAATTCTAAACCCTAAATCCTAAACCCCAAATCCTAAACCCTAAATCCTAAACCCTAAATTCTAAACCCCAAATCCTAAGTCCTATAAACTCTAAACGGAGCCCTGGATACGGTATAGCTCAAGGCCGCGCTGTTGCAGGTGATGCGGTGCCTGGACGAGGCCTGGAAAAAGGGTTTAGGGTTTAGGGTTTCGGGTTTTTGGATTTGCTCTTCGGGTTTCGGGTTTAGGGTTTCGGGTTCAGGATTTGGGGTTTGTGAAGCCAAAAGCCGAGAAGTACTAAACCTAAAAATCATCAACCCTAAGCCGCAAGAGCCCTGAACCCTCGCTGACGGGGCTGCCATGCGGAAAGCCCTGAAGCGCGTTTTTAGGGTTTTGGTTTAGCGTTTAGGGTTTAGGGTTTAGGGTTTAGGGGGGATGTAGATCGCGGTAAGGAAGCTGTTGGGCTCGGGCTCTTAGGGCTCAAGGCTGAGAGCTCTTGTTGGGCCATATGGCTTCGGGTTTTGGGTGTGTTTTACCCAGGGCTTGGGATGGTGTAGAAGTACAAAAACCACGATCCCGCAAGCTGCAGTACTAGGTCTTGAAGGAAGCGACCACCCGACGAAGCATCATGTCGATGTCTGTGGATGTGCACCTGCTAAGTGGCAAGCGTGCCTCTTTGGACGTGGAGGCGGATGCCTCTGTTGACTCCTTGAAGCACCTTGCGCAGAGTGCTCTGGCCACGGGTAGGGGGAGGCTGCTGAACTCTTCTGGAGAGGTCCTTGACGGAGCAAAGACTATCATAGAAGCGAAGGTGAAGAGTGGAGACCAGTTCACGTTACACGTGAACCAAGTCCAGCTTCAAGCTACCGGGCCATTCGGTGCGACCTCTGCTTTTGCCGCAGTCCTGGGTGATGGATCTGTAGTCAGCTGGGGTGATGCCGACAACGGTGGCGACAGCAGTGTAGTACAGGATCAGCTGCGCGATGTGCAGCAGATTCAAGCTTCTGAATCTGCTTTTGCCGCAATCCTGGGTGATGGATCTGTAGTCTCCTGGGGCGATGCCGTCTGTGGTGGCGACAGCGGTGTGGTACAGGATCAGCTGCGAGATGTGCAGCAGATCCAAGCTTCTGACGGGGCATTTGCTGCAATCCTGGGTGATGGATCTGTCGTCACCTGGGGTGAGGCCCGCCTTGGTGGCAACAGCCGTGCGGTAGAGGATCAGTTGCGAGATGTGCTGCAGATCCAAGCTTCTGCTAATGCATTTGCTGCACTCTTGGGCGATGGATCTGTCGTCACCTGGGGGCATGCCGATTTCGGTGGCGACAGCAGTGCGGTACAGCATCAGCTGAAGAATGTGCAGCAGATCCAAGCTTCTCAATATGCATTTGCTGCAACCCTGGGCGATGGATCTGTCGTCACCTGGGGTAATGAGGAATATGGTGCCGACAGCAGTGCTGTTCAGGATCAGTTGCGAGATGTGCAGCAGATCCAGGCTGCTCGCCAGGCATTTGCCGCAATCCTGGGCGATGGATCTGTCGTCACCTGGGGTAGTGCCAACCATGGTGGTGACAGCAGTGCGGTACAGGATCAGCTGCGAGATGTGCAGCAGATCCAAGCTTCTGACGGGGCATTTGCTGCAATCCTGGGCGATGGATCTGTCGTCACCTGGGGTGATGCCAACTATGGTGGCAACAACAGT